GAGAGCCACTCTATTGTTATTTGGGTGACACCTTTCCATTTCAACCCTCTTGCTCAGCTGCCTCAAGAGATGCCCCAAAGCAAGAAAGAGGTAAAGACATGTTAAATTTGAAGGCTGGGCTTCAAACATTTCTCATCAAAAACCCCCATTTATGTCTTAAAAATAATCCTAAGCATGCTTCAATTGCAAACATAAGTGAAATGAACATGGGTAATTTCTGCTAAACACTTAAGAAAAAGGCCCAGCCCAAACAAAAACAAAAAAAGCAACTCTCTGTGTTTGGTGGTGCATACTTGTAATCCCAGCAACTCAGAAGGCTGAGGCAGGAGGATCACAAGTTCCAGGCCAGCCTTGGCAACTTATCCAGGGCTATCTCAAATTTTGAAAAGGGCTGTAGACATATATGACTGCAACACACATTTGTACAACCAGAGAAATAAAAAGATGTGCTGCAATTGTGTACAATGAATCAAAATGAATTCTGGTTTCACATATGCCTAATAAGAATAAGTAAATAAATATGTAGATACTTAAAGAAAGTTCTAGTTAGTTGAGGTTCATTATAGAGACTGTCATTTAACTGAGACAACAGAGAGTGGAGATATGGGGAACGGGAAAGAATGTTTTGGTGATTTGAGTTTTACAATATGATATGGCTTGTCAATTTTCAAAGAATTAGAATAAAATTTCACTGAAGGTAAAATAAATAAATAAATAGGTTGAATAAATAAATAAATAATTAAATAAATAAGTAAATATGGCTGGGGGTGGAGCTCAGTGGACAGCACCCCTGGATTCAATCCCTGGAGCTGCAACACCAACACACACCAACAAAGATCTCTTTTGCATTTTCCCATAGGCACTTGCATCTGACAGGTTGCAGGAACGTGCTCAACTTTTTAACCCTGATGCTTCCCAATTTCTGATTGGCTTTTACTCAAACTCTCACCTTTCATTATGCTACAGAGAATTCCCTTATGTGCTCAAGAGACATAGAAACTGATTAGGGTTGATGCAGCCTGGGAAATACCCCACTTTGGGAAGAACCAAAAGGCTCCAGGTGATACCTACAGTGGAGACAGGGAAAGATGCCTTTGGCCCTGTTTCTATCTCTCGTGCTCCTAAGAGCCCACTGTTCACTCCTGGTGTTCACTCAGGTGTATCTTTCTTTCCTTCCTGCCTTCCTGTCTCAGTACAGGGGATGGAACTCAGGATCACTAGGCGAGTGCTCTACCACTGAGCTCCATGCCCAGTCCTTTTCATTTTTTATGTTGAGGCATGAACTTGCTAAGCTGCCCATGCTGACATCAAACCCACAATTCTCCCATCTCAGCCTCCTGAGTTGTTTGAATTACAGGTGTGGGTCACTATGCCTGGCTCTTGGTGGTTTTTTTTGTCAAGACTCTCTTCCCCTGGTTCTGACCATGAAACTGCTCTCTGGCTTTCTATGTCAATTCACTTTTTTGGAGGTAATCTTGTCCAGCAGGTTTACAGTGCTGATCCCAGATGGAGACTCCCTTTTCTTTTTTGGGGAATCAAAGAAGGCATCTCCCTCCTTGACCTCAAGGACACCACTGAGATTGAAGGGTCTCTGTTGTCCCTCTTGTAGCTACTTCCCTTCTGACCTCTAAACTCCTTCTAAAACAGATATTTTAATCTTTCCATGCCCTCCACCCAAGAGAACTGCACCCCGCCAAAACAAAGCCCCAGGCAGGCACCAAAAACAGCTGCATGTATTTCCCACTGCCTTGGTTATCCAGAGTTCCAGTGTCCACATGCAGCCTCAGTGGCCCAGTCCCCAGCTCTGCTCCCATTATAGCTGCAGCCTAATCCTCTGGACCCAAGTTTTGGAAGATCAGCCATGTCCTCAGGGGTTCCTCTCTCCTTCCCTGAGTGGGCACATGGGCTGGTATGTTAGGAAACATAAAACCCAAGTGAGAGTTAATACACTGAGTAACTCTGACATATGTGTGTAAATTCAATGTGGCCAGCTGGGCACAGTGGTGCATGACTATAATCCCGGCAACTCAGGAGACTGAGGCAAGAGGATGCCAGGTTCAAGGCCAGCCTTGGCAATTGAGTGAAATTCTGTCTCTGGAAAAAAATACGAGGAGCTGGAGATGAAGATCAGTGTTAAAGTGTCCCAAGGTTCAATCCCCAGTACCATCATTTGTATATCTATATCTATATCTATCTCTCTATCCATCTTTATATATATATATATATATATATATATATATATATATATATATATATATATATATATATAGAGAGAGAGAGAGAGAGAGAGAGAGAGAGAGAGAGAGAGAGAGAAGGGCATAGCCAAAGAAATCCCAAGAACTATGCATTCAGTTGTTTTTCCCTAAGACCAAAAACAGATTTAACCCTTTCCTGTCTCACACTCAGGACCATAAAAGTCAAATACTAATAAAAGTCAATCAATAATATAGAGTAAACAATTAATGTGTCCCTACTCTTCAGTTATTCCCTTTCAGGTATGGACATTTGATTAAGTCAGTTAATTTGAAAAAAAAAAAAAAAGAAGTTCAGTGAGATTAAGTGGGTGGAGATTCAAGTATTTAACCAGATAACACTGATTGGAGCTAGGTGTTGAAAAGAGGAGGTGGGATTAGAAAGACCCCATAAAAGCTTCAAGGAGTCATAGAAGCACAGAAGCCTGGAGCCCTGTGTCACTGTCTGGCACTGCTAGGATTCAGAACTCCCTGCCAATCATCCAGCTCTGGTAAGTCACCAAACCCCACAGAGACCCCATTCAGGCTATCTGGTGGCATACACTTCTCGTTCCAGCTACTTGGGAGGCTGAGGAAGAAGGATTGCTTGAGCCCACAAGTTCAAGATGAGCTTAGACAACTGAACTAAAAACAGAACCTCTATGGGCTCTACTCTCAGCCAGTCTTACCCAGTGACCTACAGCCTAGGAGAGGTAGCACATGTCTGTAAACCCAGCAACTCTGGAGGCTGAGGCAGGAGAAGCACAAGTTGAAGGCCAGCCTCAGCAATTAAGCAAGATCCTGTCTCAAAATAAAAAACAAAAGGAGCTGGAGATGTAGCTTGGTGTTAGAGAACCACTGGGTTCAGCCCCCAATACCAAAAAAGAAACAAAAAATGGTGACACATAGTTTGTGATGGCAAAGAGGATATCATATTCTGTCTCTCCAAAGGACCAGGTGTCTGCATTTTGTGTCTCTAAATGCAGTTTTGCCTTCATCCCAATAATTTTGATTTCTGCTTTGGTTTAGGTCATATTAAATTTCTTTCCTTCTGTTGTTCTTTTTTTTAATGAATTTCTACCTATTTATCAACTTTAATTTCAAAATACTTCTCCCTTTGCATCTTCATGGTAACTTTGATTCCAGTTAGAGAAACAGACTCAAAAAAGTAGATGGGACTCAGAGAAATGGCTACTGCAGTTTTCCAAAAATAATTGTCCTTCCTTCTCTCTGGGTCTGATACTCTTAAGACATGTCTCTTCTTAAATAATTAAACAAATCTTCAATGGTTGCAGGACTGGAGCAGGCATTTCAGTAAATATCTGTTGAATGAATGAAGAGTAAGGAAACCCTTATTCAGAGCAAAGCACTGATGTTCTTATTTAACATTCAGCCACTCAGTACCTCAAAGTTTCTTAACACTCTCATGCTTGGGCTTAGTTTCCTTCACTTAGAATTTTTTTTTCTATTTTTTTTTTTTTTTTTGTCTCTGGGGATTGAATCCAGGGGCACTATACCCCTGAGCTACATCTCCAACCCTTTTTATTTATATATTTTTATTTTAAGAGAGGGTCTCACTAAGTTGCTTAGGGTCTCACTAGATTGCTGAACCTGGCTTTGAACTTGTAATCCTCCTGCCTCAGCCTCCCATGTAGCTGGGATTACAACTGCAGGTCACCAAACCTGGAACTACACAATATTTTTCATAGGTTACACTCTATTCTGATCTATTTATTTCCTGGGACTGCACTCCAAAGTGGCACTCTGTCACGTGTACAAGATATACGTGACAATTGAGCCTCATCTCAGAGTTAGCATTTTCCATCTCTTACTTCCAAATGCTCTCAAATACTATATGTGGCTTTTAGCATTGGTTATATTTAAACTGTTCATGGTGGTACCTGTCTGTAATCCAGCTATTCAAGAAGCTGAGGCAGGAAGATCATGAGTTTGAGACTTATCTGGACAACTTAGTGAGATCCTGTCTCAAAATAAAACAGGGTTGGGAGCCGGGTGTGGTGAGTGAAGGGTGTCTGTAATCCCAGTGGCTTGGGAGGCTGTGGCAGAAGGATCACAATTTCAAAGCCAGCCATAGCAAATTAGCAAGACCCTAAGCAGCCTCAATATAAAAACTAAAAAGAGCTGAGGATGTGGTTCAGTGCTTAACTACCCTGAGTTCAATCTTTGGTCATCAAAAACAAACAGGGCTTAGGATGTAGCTCAGAGGTAAAGCACCCTGAGTTTAATCCTGTGCCACAAAGTGAATAAATAAGTAGATAAATACAAACCAAAAGGGGTAAGGGTGTAGCTCAGTGGTAAGCTACCCCTTGCTTCAATCCCTAGTATTGCCAAAAAAAGAAAAGTATAAGTAAGTAAGTAAATTAATTTAAAAATTGCTCATTTTAAAAATGAAAACCGATGACACCCACTTTAGTTATTTATTTACTGAAGCTAGGGATTGAACTCAGGGACACTCTACTACTGAGCTACATCCCCAACCCTATTTTATTTTTCATTTTGATACATGGTCTCACTAAGTTCTAGGCTGGCCTGGAATTTGTGATCCTCCTGCCTCAGTCTCCCAAACCATGGGGTTATAGGCCTGAACCACCAGGCCTGGATTGACACCCAGTGAGTGAAATTGGATCAATCGATTGCCAAAGCAGCCACTACAGCTGAGTTGTTTCCTCTGCATGGGTATAAGATAGAGCTGTGGAGCTTGGCTGTGAATGATGTGTTTGGGCGGGGCATTCCCCCAGGATCCTTTCCATGCAGACTCCAGAGGATGAGCAGCAGGCCCCACAAATGCTCCAGAAGTGGGCAGGGCGCAGCCTCCTGAAGGACAAGTCCAGGGCCATCCTAGCTCTGGAGGACCTGCCCATACAGCTCTTCCCACCACTCTTCATGGAGGCCTTCAGCGGGGGACACACTGAGGTCCTGAAGAAAATGGTGCAGGCCTGGCCCTTCACCTGCCTGCCCTTGGGGTCCCCGATGAGGAAGACAGAGCTGGATATGATCCGAGTGGCACTGGATGGGCTGGATATGCTGGCTGCCCAGCAGGATCGCCCCAGGTGAGGGGGACCCTGGAAGGGAATTCCCTGGGTGGCCAGGGAAGTGATGGCTGTGGGCAGGGAGAGTAGGTGCTGAAGTGTGCCCAACAGCATTCCTGTGCTGCCAGCAAGGAGGGTTGGAGAGGCCTTGGCCATGCTGAGCCCAACTTGGGAGGGGCTTCCAGATGTGGAGGGTGCTTGTGGCAGCTGCCTTGACCCCTGAAGGAGGTTGTGCCTGCCCCTCCCTCAGCTGGTACAGGTGGGGGCACCAGGCTGGATTGGAGGGGCAAGGGGTAGAAAAAAGTGAGACAGAAGGAAGAGGTGGAGCATGGGGCAGCAGCTGAGAGGTGAAGGAAGGAGCCTCAGGGCTGAGACTCTGCTGTCATCCCTGCAGGAGGTGGAAACTCCAGGTGATGGATGTGTGGAAGGTTCATGGGAACTTCTGGAGAATGTGGTCTGGAGCTGTGGTCGATGCCTGGTCACCAGGAGTCATGAAGGAGAGGCAAACAGTGATAGCCTCTCTAGACACAGGGCCCACTCTGCCCTTGAAGGTGTTAGTAAACCTGTGCTTTCAGCAAAGACCCCTGAATGCATTCCTCTCCTTCCTCTTTCAGTGGGTGGATGAGAGGAAGGGTCTTACAGCTGTGCTGTAAGAAGCTGCAGATGTGCTCTTTGCCCATTTATAGCATCAAGAGGATCTTGGAGAGATTGGATCTGGACTTTATCCAGCAAGCGGATGTGCAGTGTTCCTGGAGACTATCTACTTTTTCTACTTTTGCTACCTATTGGGGCCAGATGAGCAACATGAGGAAGCTCTTTTTCTCCCCTGTCTATGTGTCTGCCTATGCTTCCCAGGAGGAGAAAGATCAGTTGATGGATGATATTACCTCACAGTTTGCCAAGATGGACAGCCTCCAGAGGCTGTACCTGGATGGTTTCTTTCTCCTAGATGGCCGTCTGTGCCAGGTGCTCAGGTGAGGAAGCAGAGGGAACTTTCCTAGGAGATCAGAGAAAACTCTTTGTTACATGAAACTTCAGTAGGCACCTGCTGTGTGCCAGCCATGGTGACTTAACATTGATGGAGATGTTAGAAAGTCAATGAAGTGTTTGTTTCTACTCTGTCCTGAAGCCAGGTCTCACATAAAACCCACAGAGAAACAGAGTCCTAAACAGGGGTCCGTGGTCTGGGGAGCAGAACTCTGCTGAGGAGTCAGGTGGGGGGGAGAGGAGCTAGTGAGTGGAGGTAAGGTTCCTTCCCTGGGATGCCTGTCCAGCGAAGGTGGTGAGAAGCAGGATAGAGGACAGGGCGCTGGAGGAGGGAAGCCCATACACCTTCACCTTTCAACAGGGAAGCTCTGTGCTCTCCAGCATGGAGCAGAGGAGCTGCCTCCAATGTCCCCCTGGGGAAGGCTGCTCTGAGCTCTGGGTGGTGATTCTGGACTTGAGGGTGAGGAGCAGGGGTGGAGGGTACAGGGTGTGAGCCCTGCAGGAAGGCAACCCCAGTTTGTGTTGCTCCATCTTGCCTGGGTTTGTTATTTGTGCATGTCTCACACTGACCCCATCTGGCTACAGCTGTGGCTTTCTGCTTGGTAGTGAGGAGGGGCGCCTTAGAGATGATGGACCCACCTGGTCACTCAAGTGGGGGTGAAAGGCTCAGCATGAAACAGGGTGACATGAACGAGCAGATTCTGCAGCAGGCAGAGTCCTGGGTGGAGACCATCATCTGAAGGTCAGAGTGACCTTGGGCTTGGGCCAATTTGTCTTCTCCCACCTTGACATCACTCCTCAGAACTAAGTGCTTGATCTTTGCTTACACTCCTGAAGACCCCTCTGGAGACCCTCTCAATAACCAACTGCCAGCTCTCAGATCCAGACTGGAATGATCTGTCTGGGTCTCCAAACCTTGATCAGCTAACACACCTGATGCTGTGGGACAGCAAATTGACAAATTTCAGTCCTGCGCCCCTTATAATTCTGCTAGAGAATGCTGCAGCCACCCTTGAGAACCTAAACTTGCAGAACTGTGGGATCACACACTCCCAGCTCCAGGCCATCCTACCTGTCCTCAGGTGCTGCTCCCAGCTCAGGGTCTTGAGCTTCAATGGGAATGACATCTCCATGTTGGTCCTGAGCAACCTGCTCCTTCACACTTCCAGGATGACCCGGTTGAATCTAGAGAGGTACCCTGCCCCTCTGGAGAGTTACGATGCCCAGGGTGCCATCCACCCAGGGAGACTTTTCCAACTCATAGATGAGCTGATGGGGATATGAGGGATGTGAGAGAGCCAACGGATGTCCTTTTCTATACTAAACCCTGCCATAGATGTGGCAACTGGTTTATCTATAAACTGCACTCCAGTCTGTATTGCTGTTGGCTGCCTGCCTAGTGGGATGCATATATCAGAAAAGTTCTCCTGTGCACTTCAAAATAAAGGTAAGACACGAGTGTCTCTCCAAGGGGAACTAGAAACAGGATGCCAGGGCACTACTTAACACAAATGGGAACAGAAAAGCTGATGCAGGAGGCCTGGGTCACAGGGGCTTGGTTCCCATCGGGAGATGGGAGACTTGGGACCGATGGGGACATGTGCCTTAGGAGTCAGAAACAGGAATCTGAATTTCTGGAAGTAGATTTGTGCTGAGAGGTACACAGGGCATTACACCTGCATGGATGGTTGCAAACGAGCGACTTGGGGAACTTGCGGCAGAGCCTCTGCTGTCCTCCAAGGTTTTCAGCTTAAAGGTCAGGAAACTGACCCAGTGGCTGACCAGTGCTGATCAGTGACACTGGAGCCGACCTCATGGCATCACAATAATGCAGGGCCATTCTGAGTATACCCTCCATTCTTTACTTCTCTCTGAGTGCCATTCCTTCCGATGCATGTTGCTGTTCACTGGGGTTATGCACCTGTGATTGCCCACAGAAGTGAGAACACTAACCTGCTCTCCAAAGGAGTTTATCTGGGGATAATAGGAGACTTCCATCTGAATTACTCAGTTCATAGTGGACCACAGCTGTATCCACAAGGGCTGAGGTTCAGGGGAAAATAGTCTGAGTCTGTGTGTGTGTGTGTGTGTGTGTGTGTGTGTGTTGGGGATTGAACCCAAGGGTGCCCTACTATTGTCGAGAACTTCATAGAATACGACTTACAAATCCTTGTAAAATTTAACATCCAATCAGTCAAGAAACCTAAAGCAAGGTTGGACATGTACCCAAGAGTTAGGTGCAATAGATAAAATTATAAAAGCAAGATTTCCTGCAATTCCAAACCCAAGCACCTGTCATCTAATGGGCCTGCAGACTCCAAATGGTTCACAGCAGACACCTTCACTCTGCTGTCTCTGGTACCCAGGTGATAAGCAGAGCCAACATGGTTGCCTTCTGAAAAATCAGCAATAAACCCAGACTGGGAATCTACAAGTGTGCCCTGAAACCCTACATCACCCCTCTCTGGCATCATGCCAAGACCTCTCAACCATACAATGTCCTAGAAATGCCTCTCACTCAATTCGCAAATGATTTGTTTTATGGTCTCCTATGGCACAGGATTCTAAAATAGTTTTTCTTCACCTTTAACAGCAGGTGGCGAATGAGAGCCATAAGACCTCCTTGGATAAACTTGAGTTCTCTGCAGAAGAAGTCTATTACTGCCTGGAATGGTGGCAAATGCCTGTAATCCCAGCAGCTCAGGAGGCTGAGGCAGAGGGATTGCAGGTTCAAAGCCAGTCTCAGCAAAATGTGAGGCGCTAAGCAACTCAGTGAGACCCTGTCTCTAAATAAAATACAAAATAAGGCTGGGAATGTGGCTCAGTGGTTGAGTACCCCTGAGTGAAATCCTGGTACCCCCCACAAAAAAAGAGAAAGAAAGAAGAAGTCTATTGCTTAGGTTATGCTCTGATTATGCAGGAAATTTCCCTCTTACCTGAAGAAGAAAAGACATCCCAGGTCTCCCTAAACCCAGAACTGAGATAATTAAGAGGTTTCCTTTCCATCTCTAAGATTCAAATCCTCTGATATTGTAACCCAGCTTTTATACTTTCTCTCTAAAAGTATTTTTCAGTACTTGAGATAGAAACCTGAGGCTCTCTAACACTGAAATACAACCTCAGTCCTTTTAATAATTTTATTTTGAGTTAGGGTCAGTTGCCTGAGCTGCTCAACACAATGGCACAGAACTAAAATCCCAGCAACTCAGGAGGCTGAGGCAAGAGGATCATAAGTTCAAGGCCAGCTGCAACAATTTAGGGAGACCCTGCATCAAAAAATAAAAAGGGCTTGGAATGTGACTCAGTGGTAGTGCACCCCTGGGTTCCATCCCCAGCACCATAAATAAACAAATAAATTGCAGTTGCTGTACCCCGGCCACTGGCGATGTCAGAGAAGGAGATGCTGGAGAGTGACCGAGTGACCTCAGAGTCTGGTCCCCTGTTCAGTCCGGAAGGATGGACTCATCACCACAAACACAGAAGTAGAGGGCTAAACAGGGGTTTGTGGTCTGGGAAGTGGAACGCTGCTGGGAAGCCAGGTGGTGGGGAGAGGAGCTAGTGAGGTGGGTATGAGGTTCCTTCCCTGGGAGGCCTGTCTAGCAAAGGTGGTGAGCAGCGGGGTGGAGGGGAAGGCGCTGGAGGAGGGAAGCCCCCACACCTGCACCTTGCAACAGGGAAGCTCTGTGCTCTCCAGCAGGGAGCAGAGGAGCCACCTCCAATGCCCCCCTGGGGAAGGCTGCTCTGAGCCTCAGGTGGTCATTGGGAGTTGAGGGTGAGGAGCAGGGATGGAGGCCTTGCAGATGGTGGACCAACCTGGTGTAAGGCTCACCCTGAAATGGGTGATGTAAATGAACAGATTCTGCAACAGGCAGAATCCTGGGTGTTGACCATCATCGGAGGGTCAGGGTGACCTTGGGCTTGGGCCAATTTGTTTTCTCCCACCTTGACATCGCTCCTCAGAACTAACGGTCTGGTGTCTCCTTAGGCAACCCTTCCCACCAGACCCTCTCAATTACTAACTCCCTGTACTTGGAATCAGAGTTGAAGCATATGTCCCTGTGCCTGGGTATCAGTCAGCTGAAGCACATGGATCTTGATGGCATCAAAATTTAAATCCAGGTGTGGTAGTGAACACCTCTAATCCTAGTGGCTCAGGAGGCTGAGGCAGGAGGATCAAAAGTTCCAAACCAGCCCCAGTGACTTAGATCCTCAGCAACTTGGGAAGAGCCTGTCTCAAAATAAAAAGGGAAGTGGACTGTGGATGTAGGTCTGTGTTAGAACACCCCTGGGTTCAATTCCCAGTCCCCCTTCCTCCAAAAAACATCCAGTTTAAGTCCCATGCCCCTCCAAATTCTACAGAAAGTTGTAGCTACTCTGCAGACCCTGGAATCACAGGACTGTGAGGTCATGGACTCGCAGCTCCATGCCACCCTCCTTCCCTGAACTGATGCTCCCAGCTCACCATGTTCAGCTTCTATGGTGCCTCCCCACATCAGTCCTGGAGAACCACCTGCTGCACTCTGCCAGGCTGAGCCAGTTAAGCCTAGAGCCTGTGCACTGCCCCTCTGGAGACGAATCAGTGTCCTACTCTCCACGTTGGAGGTTTGTCCAGCTTTGTGTTAAGCTGATGGGGATACTGAGGGACATTAGGCATGTACCCTCTCCTGTGCTTACTGGGCAGACCGGTACCTTTTAACCTGGTGGAACTGGATGTTTCATGGCCCAGGTACCTGTCAAGAAGCAGCTGTGCCGCTACTGTGTGCCTTCCCAGTCGGGTGCATAGGAAAAGCTTTCCTCTGGGCACTTAGAAATGAAACTTAGCATGTAGCTGCAAATGTAGAGGACACAGAACCCTGGCTTCAGGGTAGCTGGGAAAAGACTGAGGTGAAGGATTCCCCCCTTCCTGGGGTGGGGAATAGGACTCGGGCTTCCTGCCCACTAGGTAAACACACTACCCCTGAGCCACATTCACAGCTCAGCAAGTTAG